CGTCCGGATTATGATTTGGATGTGGTATATTCTTTTTATAACTATTTGTTGCAATTCGCGTTTATGAAAATTATGCCCATCAAGTTGACATAGATATTTTATCTAGGAGGTATGTGAACTGGAAGTTGCAACCGAGCCTGTTGTCGAGAAGTTAAATTTAGTTGAAAAAGAAAACAAGTATTTGAAAGAAAAATTGAAAAGAATTGAAGAAGACAAGATGAAATTGGAGTTATATGTTGCCGATGTCGTCGATGATCACAAGATCAAGATGGATGCAATGCGCTTAAAGGTTAGAAAGATTAAATATGTCGTTAATAAAAAGGCTTGGTATCACTATGTTGTTGGATCAATTGTTACCTTAGTTGAGATCTTGATCACATTTTTTGTTGCATTTAAATGCTTTAGCTAGAGTTTGTATGTTGTTTTATGAGAATGAGTGTGTATGAACTTGTATTAGTTTGGTCTTTTCGGTGTAATGTAATGAAGATGAGTCAGCAATGGATGTACGATGACCGACGCTCTCCCTAGTTCATTCATGGTGTGCATAGTTTTCTGCATGCGGCTGAGGCAAACAAGCGGGATGATGGTTTTATGTGTTGTCCATGTGATGTCTGTAAGAATGATAACAATTACTCTAGCTCAAGAGCCATTCATGTTCACCTGTTTACGTCCGGTTTCATGTCCCGCTATACTGTTGGACCAAGCACGGAGAAAGAAGGGTTCTAATGGAAGAGAATGAAGAAGAAGAGGATGGTGACAGCTATCATCGGTTCCCTGAATATGATGGTACTACAATGGGGGAAGAAGTTGAAGAAGAGGCATCAGATGAATCCCCTGATGATCTTGGTCGGACCATTGCTGATGCAAAGAGAAACTGCGCATGTGAAAAGGAGAAGTTGAAGTTGCAACGCATGTTAGAGGACCACAAGAAATTGTTGTACTCAAATTGCGAAGATGACAATAAAAAACCGGGTACACATTGGAATTGCTGCAATGGAAGGCAGAGAATGGTGTATCTGACAAGGGATTTGAAAAGTTGCTGA